GTTAGGGCCCTGACCTTCCTCGTCACTACTCGACCTAGGTTAGGCTTGGCACTTACTGGGTACCGCTGTGGTGTACTCATGCCCTTTCCTGCACATATTTTTGCGTGTGCGGATCCAGGTACTTCAACTCAGTCTTATCACCCTTGAGGCGAGGCGCTTCTATAGAGACTTCGAGGTATATCTGCCGCGTCCGCAAACCGAGGAGTTCCTTTCTATTCTCTGTACTAGTATAGCCCTTCTGTATCTTTCTTGTTGATAGACATTTCTGGAGTTAGAGCCTTTTATGTACTCTTAGCTTGTGAAGTGTTAGGTTGAGATTCTTGTACTGTTATATGCCGGACGGCATCTTAAATACTGTTTCATTTTGTTATCTCGGTTTTTAATTTTTTTTTTCTGCAATTGTTTCTTTTCTGTATTTGTTAGGCTTACCTAGTCGTAGGGACTAGGTGCCGTCACGACTGTTCACGGAGGACGAACTTGGGTTGTGAGATGATTAGCTTTACTAATTCATCTTGACCATTCCTTGGTTCTCTTGGACTTTGAGAATTATTTCCTTCCATATTTTGATACTCCAACGAACTCTTCATTAGTGCATGAACTTGGCCATACTTTGTAACCTTCTTTCGAACTTGGATAGTGTATGAGTCTTCCTTAATAGTTGTGGCTTTCCAAGTATAGTCCAGTAAGGATCTTTCTTCACTCCTTAATCTGTGACATATGAGATTAGAATCTCTTTATCTCCTTCGCTCCTTAATTTGCAGTTCTTTCCGACAGTTGATCACCTTTACCATCCTTGGCTTGTAGCCTCGTAACGAAGCTTTCCTTTTGAGAAGATTGGTACTACTCTTTTCCGTAGTATCTTGTATGTACTTATATCACTTTATATTCATATCCTTGATTTTATCTACCTTCCAAACCATAGATTGTAGTATAGCCATACAGATATTCTCTTTCCATAACTAAAGAGGTAACGTAGTAAGAATATTTTTTCATAAATAATAGTAGGATCTTTGAACTCCTATTACATATAAAATATTTCTTTCTTCATCTTGGAAAATAATCTTTCATAATATAGATTGAACTACATCCACAAAATATTTTGTTTCCATAGAAAATATATTCTTCCCTGGCCTTGTAATATCTTTCTCATATAGTAATTTACTTCGATAAAATAATAGATCTTCTCCATGATTTTTGCATCTTTCCTTTCAAGATATTGCAAAAATTTTCTTCCATAAATTCCGCAGATTCTTCTTCTGATATTGTAGTAAGCTATTCAATATTTCAAATATTATTCCTTTTATGACGCTTGGAGATCAAATCTCTGAAAATAATCTTCCTTGATAATATTTTCGCTCATAATTATTCTCATGATATTATCTTTCTTATATTTGTTTGGACTTTTACTGGCATCTTCTTTCTTGAATAAAACTCGTGCAAAAATAAGATTACCACAGTAAATGTTCTTTGATTAATAATTATGTTGGTTTGTTATCATCAAAATTGATACGTGAAACCTTGAGGCTAACATGATTGCGTGACTTATGGTTGTCTAGGTATACACCAAAGCTCGACGGTTCAAAGATATCAAATCTACCGATTGACCGAGTATATCCGACATATGTTGACTGCGGAAAGTTCAAAGGGAAACCTACTTATCCAGATGTTATTAATCCTTACTTGCGAATCACACAAGTTTTTTGCATGTTTTTTAAACATATTGTCATTCCCCATTCATGTGGGGGATTGTTAAGTTTCGTGAATGGGTGTGAATGGGAAATGGAAGAGGCACCTTTTGAATTGCACCTCTTCATCTCACTCTTTCATTGTCTATAAATATTAAAGGCTTATCCTCATTTTCATACATGGAAAAAATTCTGAAGTTCTCCCATTTTCTTTGCATTGTTTATCCAAAACAAAATATAAGTGTCATGTGTGATTTGCTCCGCCTTATTGCGTTCGCTGAAACACTGGGGTTTGAGGTACCGCTTCACCAGTGTGGATAATCCGTTCTATCCTGGGAGGAAATAATCCTAAACCTCGGGTACTAGTAGGGGATTAAGTTCCTTAAGGACACACTATGAATTCAGTGGGTTCGAATTTAATTTTGTTCTTCAATTCCTATGCATTTATGTTCTCTTTTACTTTATAAAATTTTCTGATTTCGAACACAGATTACTAACAATTACGCGAAATCTCATAAACAGTGCTCTCTTTATTTTATATGCATGATTATCGTGTTTCAATACTCGAAAATACTAAGACGATTTTTAGCTTAACTCCAGTGATGGGAAATACAATAGCTTGCAATTCGTGATACATCTCATGTATTTCTTTACGTTTATAATCTTTAGTTTATTTTTAATCAATTTCTATATGAGTTGTGTAAAGAGGAGGTGAGCATTCAATAGGCTGACATAGAATAACAAAATCCAATTCATATGCGCGAGACACCTGTTTATAACTCAAAAGCAAGAAGCAAACAATGATAATTAATACTTTAATATTTAACCAAATCAACAATGTAAAACACGTGTCGTGTATAAAAAATTTATCAGCTAACAATAGTCAAGTGACATATAAATTCTAACTTTAATCTAGAATTTTTAAAAATACTAAGTTCCAAAATTTAGGTTAGATTACGTTGACTGTCGTAGTTACTATCTTTGCTAAATTAGGATAAATTTGTTGCAGGCAACATGGAACTCAAATGCAATAGCAAATGCCATGTTTATCATCATGAATCATGACACGACTCATGAGCCTAGCTGCCTAGGTTAAACAAAGAAAATATTGTGCACTTTATTCTTAGACGTAAGAAAGACGAGAGGCAACCACCAACCAGATCTAGTACATAAAGAAAGTTTGAAATTGTGCTAGCTACAGAGGGCCGGGGTGTTTTAACAACCATATTTTATTAAATATTTTTTGGTTTCTTGAAGTTGGTAATTATTAATCGAGTGAGATGGTTTTTATTCTGTATTGTTTTCTTGATTGGAGCCACTATAATAGGAGAGAAACAAAAATACTTTAATACCATTATTTCTCTATTTGTTTGTAATATTGATAGGTGTGCATTACTTGGTTTTAAACGAAAAACTGATCAAATCAAACCTTTTTGTTTTTTCCCCTACTTTTATATTTTCAGAATTCAAAAAAAGATATAAGGAAGGAATTTCGGATTTTAGATACAATTTCAGATTCTTTGCGGGAAAAAAAAAAGAGAAGGAAAATTGCTTTAAATGCCCATTGTAAATATCTTTTTAATTATATGACCTTCTTGGCAAGAGATCCATAAAATACAACACAAAAATTTAATAAATAAAATACAAAAGAATATTTAAATTGTAGTTGGTGAGAGAAGCTCATTCCATGCCTTCTAATTTGATTTGACATGTTCTTAGATGACCTGTTTTATGGGGTCACTCTTTTCATCATCAATAATTATAAAGCCGAATTTTTTTCAATGTTCTGTTATGGCTTCTTCACATCAAATGGTAGAAGTTTAAAAATATAATGTTTGGGCCAATTGTGAATCAAAATTTTACTTTGCTTTCAATGCGTGCATGTGAGTTATGAGACAGTAGTGACGCCCCCGTCCCTATCTTAGCATCTTTTGGACGGACTTAAGCATTCAACTTTTCCTGCCTCACTGTCTCTTATAGTATTGTTTTGTAAGTTAAAAATTTTCCATAAGTAGTAATGTTTTGAAATTATTGAAAAATCCAACTAAAACAGTTGTCCGCCTTTATAAATGTCTATATCGGGATAGGGTAGGATGTAAATTTAATACTAATAGCGAGTGGCCAGGCCACCAATATTGCCCAAGGTCAATATCCCCGCCTTGGTTATGTAATATCTCATATTTAGGGTGTGTTTGGAAAATATTTTTATTGGAAAATAAGTTATTTTTTAATTTATTTTTTGGTGTTTGGTTAGATAACAAAATTAGTTTTCAAAAAATATATAATCTAAGCACAAACTATATAAGAGACGAAATGGGTAAGGGCGGAGAGCAGGGGCGGATTTAGGGGGGCGGAAGGGGGTTCACCCGAACCCCTTTCGCCGAAAAATTATACTGTATATATAAGGCAAAATTTATTTTTTATCTAGATTATATTTTGAATCCCCTTGACATAGCCCAAAAGCATAGCTTAGTGGTCAAGTGTGTTCAAAATCCTTGTGAGGTTGTTGGTTCAATTCCCACTAGGGTCAAGGGTGGTTTTTGAACCCCCTCAGCGAAAATCCTGCATCAGGGTCTAAAAGCCGGGATTAAGAGTTGGAGAGGTAGGGTGGGGCGGGGAGTAGGGTGCGAGTGGTGGTTGGGGGTGTGGAAGCTAGCACTCAACCATATTTGAGTATATTTGACTTGAAGCCATCGTACTTTTTTTAGCCAACCCTGTGCAGTGCCTAAATCTCTATCTTTGCTGACATAGGATTCATCTGAACCTCTAATGGCGCTTCACATAATAAGAGAATCACCAACCGTTTCCCATCCAAATACTGAAACGACAAACACTGTCAAAGAATTTTGGACTTCAAATAAAATGGATAGCCCATACTATCAAATGGGACTTTATTCACATCCGTGGTTTGCAGTTTGCATTAAACTAATAAATATAAAAAATTTCATATAAATGTTTATCATGTAACCGATATAAATTGATATGTTATTTTATTAATTTGTGATTCTTAAGATCAAATAATTTGATTTAGTAAAAATATCAAGTGTGAATAAATATTCTTTGTACATCAACTCTTTTTTTACAATCATTTAATATTTAAAATTTATTGACCAGACTAACACAAAATCACATCGTGCATGATCCATTTGAGAAGAAAACGCTTCCCACCAGAAATTTCGCCGACTCCAATCTAAGATGTGTGAGTGAATTGCATCCATCCATCACACGTGTACATCAAGTCCACTTGCACTAATAATTCATAGCAAAGTACAAAAGGAACATGCACGTAGCTTTATACAAACCTTTCTCCTCGAACTTATATAAAAATATGAAAACCTTGCCCCCTCCCATATATATGACTATATTTTTTTGACAAGACCTCAAAGACTCCAGTATAAACCAAGATAAGCAGCTCCAAATCTCTAGTTCGTAAGCCAAGAAATTATAAGAAGAAAGAAAAATGGAGTACTATGTATCCATTTTGCTTGGACTGTCATTCGCCTGGATTTTGGTGCGTGGATTCATGTCACTTGGAAGAACCAAAAGCTCTAAAAAACATGCGCCAGGTCCATTTCCTTTGCCTATTATTGGAAACCTTCATTTGCTTGGTGACCAACCTCACAAATCACTTACTCAACTCGCAAAAGCTCATGGTCCAATTATGAATCTCAAATTTGGCCAAATAAACACAGTGGTCATTTCCTCCTCAGTCTTGGCTAGAGAAGTCATGCAAAAACAAGATTTGACCTTTTCCAATAGGTGTATTCCTGACGCTCTCCGTGCCTGCAATCACTATGATTTTTCTGTTATTTGGTTACCTGTCAATGACTCTCGCTGGAGAACTCTTCGCAAGATTATGACCTCTAACATCTTCTCAGGTAATGGTTGCAAACAAAGACACATCCAGGATTTAAATCTTACGGGTTCAACTTTCAAGGTTTTTAGTAGTGTACCCTTTATATGTATTTTTAAAGTTATGGGTTCATATCTACTATTTTTTTCAATTTTAATGATTTTTTACATATGAATTTTTACTCAGCGTCGAAAGTTATGAGTTCAGTTCAATCCGTCGGTTCAACACTATATTCGCCTCTGGTTGAGAAACGGATAGGTTGAGTCAAACTTGGGCTGATCAACTTGATGAAAGAGCCATGTCCGTAGAAATGACACCAGATAGCCATTTTAGCGGGCTGTTATTTAGGAATTAACCAGCGTATCCTGAATTTCAGTTTTTCAGTTCAATTTTTCACGATAAAAATGTTCTGAATATATTGTCATGATGTTGAGATATTTAGTTTAAAATTTCAGGACAAAATAAGTACCGGCTAATATCTAAATAGCATCCCTGAGAATGGTTATCTATGCACTTTCCCCGTCATGTCCCGGCCCGCTCAAAGTTAGTTTGTGTCAAACAGGTTGGGCCGAGATGAATAAATAAGAGATCTTTATACAAATATTCAGTCAAATGTACTATTTATTTTTCTAGCTAGCATACATATATTATACCTTGATTATATATGATTATACACATATTATACATGGATTACACATATATTATACATCCACTGGCTAATTTAACTTAACATATCATAACCTAACCCGTTCAACATGATCCAACCTCCTCTTTCTTTAATTTGATTTTTGTTAAAGAGAAAATTAAAAATTGATCTACATGTTCTTGAATTATTAGTTTGAATTCTTTCAAATATACATAAATTTCATTCTCCAAAGTGAATTTTGTGCATTTGGGGTTCCTTCGGGCAATTTCTTTTTGACTCGTTTAATCAACAAACGTGTCATAACCCAGCCAACCCGTACGTACTATTTCGAGTTGGTTGGGTGGTTTACTAAAAGTTGATTGATTTTATCACATGTATTCTCAGGTAACAAGCTTGATGTTAGCGAGCATCTCAGAAGTAAAAAGATCCAGGAGCTAATTGATTTTTGTCACAAGAGTGCCAACAATGGTGAAGCAGTGGATATTGGCAGAGCAGCTTTTAGAACTTCCTTGAATTTGCTGTCAAACAATATTTTCTCTAAAGATTTGACTGACCCATTTTCTGATTCCGCTAAGGAATTTAAGGACTTGGTGTGGAACATTATGGTCGAGGCTGGTAAACCAAATTTGGTGGACTATTTCCCTTTTCTTGAGAAAATTGATCCACAACGTATAAGGCAGCGCATGACCGATCATCTTACTAAGGTTCTTGACCTTATGAGTGGTTTGATTGATGAGCGGCTAAAGGAAAGGAAAATGAGAAACTATGCAAATGTTGATGTTTTAGATGCACTTCTCAACATTAGCCCAGAAGAGCTTGACAGGAATCACATCGAGCATATGTGTCTGGTTTGTTCCCTGATCCTTCTATTATTTGTGAGGTTGCATAGATTGATGATTAGTCCATCTAAAATTTCAGTTGCTAGAGCGAGTATACTTTTTGAATATTTAATTGTATTATGTCTCAAGATCTCTTCGTGTGAACCTTTTTTATTTCATAGCCCAACATGTGAAAATATGTTTTCTTTTTTTTTTTGTTCTTTCGCTACTAGTAAGATTTGAACTCAGAACATGTTGTCTCCTGTTGCATGCCTTCACTGATGCAATGTAGACTTGTGTGGCCAATTTATTTAAAAGTTTAAACTATAGATAAAGCACACTTTTAATTTATTGAATTTTATTATGTCTCAGCAAGTTTAATGTTTGTTAGATTTGTTAAATGCTTGTGGCAACAACGCCTCGCCTAATGAACAGTATTTGGTCCCTTTTTTTGCGTGACCACATTTCAGTTTGTCCAATTGAAAGCAACATATGCTATGTAACCTTTCACTAGATTATATATGGTAATTGGCATCTACATCATAGGATCTTACAATAGTAAGTTTTACAGGACTTGTTTGTAGCAGGGACCGATACAACATCAAATACGCTGGAGTGGGCAATGGCAGAACTACTTAAGAAACCACATACTTTGGAGAAAGCCCAAGAAGAACTTGCACAAGTGATTGGCAGAGGTAAACTAGTAGATGAAGCTGATGTTGCACAGCTTCCCTACTTGCGATGCATCGTGAAAGAAACCTTGAGAATACACCCTCCGGTTCCTTTCTTGATTCCACGCAAAGTTGATGATGATGTTGAGCTTTGTGGCTATGTTGTCCCAAAAGACTCGCAAGTTCTAGTGAATGTGTGGGCAATTGGGCGCGACTCTGGCCTATGGGAAAATCCGTTGATCTTTAAGCCAGAGAGGTTCCGGGAGTCAGAAATAGATGTTCGAGGTCGGGATTTTGAGCTCATACCATTTGGTGCTGGTCGGAGAATTTGCCCTGGATTGCCTTTGGCTATCAGGATGGTTCCAGTTGCACTAGCTTCATTGCTAAATACGTTTAACTGGAAGCTACAAGGTGGAATTGCACCTAAAGATTTGGACATGGAGGAAAATTTTGGTATTACCTTGGCAAAAGCTCAACCCCTGCTAGCTATCCCTATTCCACTGTAGGAATAACGTTAAGATTTTAGGTAAGTATATTACGAGTAATATAGTAAGTAACATTATTTTCTTTGTGAATGGATGAAACTTAATACAAAGATTTTCAAAAAAAAAAAAAAAACAAACAAACAAACATATGAAGCGAGCCAAAAGCATTTGGATGAATCCTCACGTACTGGCAACATAGTACATTTGTATCTGTAGAATATATCCTTATGTAAAAAAATCCTTGAAAATAAGACCATGTCTATTTTAAAGTTTTGGCTCCTCTCCAGGATGTATCCTTAATTCCAGGTAGAGCTAATGATGTATTCATTGGCTTGGCACCGTTGAACTGGTGCTATTAAAGACACGCTCGAGAACACTTAAACCTTGGTGCAACTGCAACATACCCGAGCAACTGCACCTTATTTAGGTAACACAGAGAAAATTATCTAGGCATTAGACTCCCGCATCCTCTCGCAATCCCACACAGCATATGAATAACATCACCTCGTGGTATTTAATTGGTCTCCAAAAACATTAGCAGATGAATGCTTACTAATTTTAGCAGTTAATGGGTAATAGTTGCAGGACCAATTATCTGGGAGAATCTGTCACTCGCAAAATTCCGGAGTCTATAAGGAAGTGGAAATTGTATCCATAGTGATGGGTTTTCAATGTCTTTGCCTTATGTTTTAATGATCTAACAAACTTGCTGTAAAGAACCAAATAGGGAACCTGACACACTTGGGCTACATTGCAAATCAACGGAGTCCAGCTAAATGTGAACTGCTATAGCTTCAGGAGATAGAGAACCAGACAAGGACCTGATATCCTTGTGGTTCACTCATAGCAGTACAAGGTCAATTGGATACAGCTGGAAGCGACGTGACTGTCTGCACTGTTTCTGCCTGCACTGCACTGTTTCCAGCGGTCACAAGAAGATTATATCAAGACATCACTTGAACACTTAAAAATTTACTTCAAGCATTCAAGACTTGGAAAAAACAGTGAACTCAATCCTCAAGAGCTTGAAGAACAAAGTAAAACGCTACTACGGACCAGTTTCCTAAATCGAGTATTCTGTTCTCCTTAGTTGAGTTTTAACTTTGTGATCGTTCTTATTATAATTCCTAAATTGCTTAGTTAGAAGCGGTACTTAGGAACCCCTCTGTAAAACCATAAACTTTCTGAGTTTGTGTTGTGACTAGAGTTAGTCATAAGTTAAATCCTTTGTAACTAGTAAGTGATAATGTGGCTTGTGATAAGTGCATTACAAGTTAGAGTGATTGAAGTCTTTGTAACTAGTGAGTGACAAAGTGGCTTGTGATTAGTGTATTACAAGTTAGAGTGAGTGAAGTCTTTGTAATAGAGTCATCACGAAGTGGCTTGTAATCGAGTGTTTACAAGTTAGTGAAGTTGAAAGCCAACAAGTGTAGGTCGTGGTTTTGTCCCCTTGAGTGGATTTTTCCACGTAAAAATCCCGTGTCTCATTTACTTACTGTTTCATTAGTATTCTCAGTGGAAACTCATAGAGGACGAGGTACTCTATAGTTTGGTGGACTCATATAAACTAACAATTGGTATCAGAGCGGGTTCCTCCTATCAGGCTAACACCTAGGAAGGATCTGTATGGCTACTCCACCAAATTTTGAAGAAGGTCAATCTACATACAGACCACCCAGGTTCAATGGACAATACTAGGGGTGGTGGAAGACAAGAATGTATGATTTTATCATGGCTGAGGATTCTGAGTTATGGGATGTCATATGTGACGGCCCTTACGTCCCAACAAAGGTACTTGAAGAACTTCCATTCTCAATGCCAAAAACCAGAAAAGAATACACCGACGCAGACAGGAAAGCTGTGGAGAAGAATTTTCGTGCCAAGAAGATTTTGATATGTGGAATAAGACCTGATGAATACAATAGAATCTCTGCTTGTGACACTGCTAAGGAGATATGGGAAGCTTAGGAGATATGGGAAGCTTTGCAAACAGCTCATGAGGGAACCACCCAAGTAAAACAATCTAAGATCGATAAGCTTACTACCGAGTATGAACTCTTTACGATGAAGGACGATGAATCCATTCAAGATATGCACACAAGATTCACTTCCATCATAAATGAGTTACACTAACTTGGTGAAACCATTCCTAGGAACAAGCTAGTGAGGAAAATCCTCAGTATCCTGCCTAGTTCTTGGGAAAGCAAGGTAAATGCTATTACTGAAGCAAAGGACCTGCAGGAGCTGACCATGGACGAGCTGGTTGGAAATCTGAAGACCTACGAGATGAAGAGGAAGATAGACAGTGAAAGAAAAGAACCAAAGAAGGAAAGGAACCTGGTACTCAAAGCTGATAGTAATGATTCAAGTGAGGAGGACAGTGACATGGCTTACTTAACCAAAAGATTTCAGAAGATGGTCAGAAGAAATGGAGGAATGCCAAAAAGGGGTAGCTCTAGTAAACCAAAGAACTATAATCTCTGCCATAATGTGGAAAGCCTGGGCACTTCATCAAAGACTGTCCCCTCCTGAAGCAAGAGTACTCCAAGTACAACCCTGAGAGAGCAGCCAAAAGGAACCCGGTTCCTGACAAAGACTTCAAAAGGAAGAAATCTGCTGACAATATGGTGAAACAGGCTCTTGCAGCATGGGGACACTCCTCTAGTGAATCTGAAGATGAAGCCTATGCAGGTGACAGCTCCATGATGGTTGTTGAAAGTGAGAAAAATGAATATGATTCAATATTTGCTTTGATGGCTCAATCAGATGATGATGAAGACGATGACAAAAGTGAGGTAAATTTCAGGGATGTTCAGAGAAATCTGAAATCCTACTCTCCTAAGAAACTCATGTCTTTAGCTAGTGTATTGATTGATGCCTATCATAGTCTTGTGGAGGATAAGGATTCCTTGACCTTAGAGCTAGGAAAAGCTGAACAAACTAGAGATGATCTGGTAGTGTGTGTAGTTGATCTAAAGGAAACCATTTGTGAGCTGGAGAAAGAAAAATTTGTTTTAACCAAAAAAATTGCTAACATAGAACATGAAAGAGACGACATATTGGTTGTAGCTGTTGACCATAAGGAAACCATCGAAAACTTCAGAAAAGATTGAGAAGCCTTAATGAAGAGAGTGACTGAGATTGAGGAAGAACGAGATAATTTCTTAGTAGTAATTGCAGACCTAAGGAAAACAATAGAGGGACCAGGGACTGAGCCAAAACCTGGAAATTCTGGAAAAGGAAAAGAGGCCGCCAGTGAGGAACACATTGTTAGAAACTGTGCGTCCACCAGACTGTATAGAGAACCGGGTTCTCTATGTGTTTCCTCTGAAAGTACTGATGAACCAAACTGTATAGGGATCTGGTCCTATATCAGTTTGATACAGTGCTAAGTTTGTGTGAGTCCACCAAATAGCAGAGTACCTGGTCCTTTATCGGGTTCTGTTGTGAATGCTAGTAAAGCTGAATATAAATAAGGCCGTGGATTTATTACGTGGAAAAATCCCACACAAGGGGATCAAAAAACTACGACCTACACCTGTAGGCTTTTAACTTCACTAACTTGCAATCTCCCTATTACAAGGCACTTTACAATAACTCTATTGCAAAGACTTCAACTAACTTGTGATGCTCCCATCACAAGCCACTCTATAACTGTTCTAGTTACAAAGAATTTGACTAACTTGTGGTATTTCCACCACAAGCCACTTTGTCACACTACGGTTACAAAGGCTTTGACTAACTTGTGATGTTTCTACCACAAGCCACTTTGTTACCCTACGGTTACAAAGGATTTTTCTTATGACTCAACCTAATCAGTGCTTCTAAGAAAGCTGGATATGAGTTGCAATGAAGAACAAATTACAAAGACTCTACAAACCTAAGGACTTAAAATATCTTCGATCTTGGATCAGGTTCTTGAGGTTGCTGCAGCTTTGTTCTTGAGAGAGGTTCTTGAACACTTGAGAGAATATTTTACTTTTCTGAGTTTGCAAGCGTTGAACCAGAATCTTGTGCCTTGCATGAGGTTTATACTACACAAGACATTACCTTAGTGATGTCAATTCACAATGGTGATGTCCAATCTCAATGGGAAGTGACTGTTGCACTGTCTGCAGAACTGTTACGTGTACGGTTGCAGGCAGTCACTTTCTGCAGTTGCTTTCCAGCTGTACTGTTGACTTATACTTCTGTCAAGGGAATACTAAGATATCAGGTTCCTAATCTGGTTCATGTGAACCTAAAGCACACTTCCCAGATTATCTTGAGTCGATTAACATGAATGATTGTACCAGGCTAGCTTCAGGTCCTTTATCTGGTTCTCTCATGAAGTAGGTTGTTTTACTTTCCTTGATGGTATTTATACTTGTGTGACATCACTTACAATAATGTAAGCAAGGTAGGTAAAAAGCCTTCCATAGAAAATTGACTGCTGCACTGTTCCTGTGCAGTAGCGTGTGCAGGTAGTAACTTTCATGCTAGAGAGTTGACTTCATACAGTCTCCTCAGGAACTGGTAGGGACCTGTTTCCTCAGCTGTTCCTTCCACTCTGAAGAGTTGAGTTATATCCTACGCTGGATCCCAATCTGGAGTTTTGTGATCTCAAGGTCTTGTAGATGTATAATAGGTTCCGTATCTGGTTCTGGATGGTAAGTTTGTTAGATCATCAAAACATAGAGTAAAGTACCTATGCCCAAGGTACTTGTAACCTATCAATTTCCCCCTTTTTGATGACGACAAACTTAGAATTGTATTCCCCCTGAGAACCAGATCTCCACATTGTTCCCCCTACGAATCAGCCATATTCCTCATGAGAACCGAACCTAAGGAACTGATCACAACTGGTTCCTCAAGACTGTTTGGCAAATCATCAAAACTCAAAGTACCATAGCTTATCAATTTCCCCCTTTTTGATGACTGACAAACCCAGAATTATTCCCCCTGAGAATCAGGTTCCTTATCTGCACTGATCACATCCGGTCCTAAAATTATTATTCCTCTTGAGAACCAGATTCCTCACATGTTTCCTCGCAGATCAGATCTATAATCAACTTGTTTTTAGCACGTTCCCCCTGCGAAGCAGAGCCATCTTTCATGCACAACACACATATCAATTCGATTATGTTCCTCCCC